TATGGGTGTTCGAAGTGCGCCAACATATTCCAAATGTGGAAGCAGCAGGGGTATTCTTAGTGTGTAAGTGCCCAAAGGCATTCCAAGTACGGAAGTGTTTAAGGACGTTCCCAATGTGAAAGTACCCAGGAGTGTTCTAAGTGTAGAAACGCTCAGGAACAAGCATTGAACAGTTGTTTGTACGGAGAAATAAAAGTAACTTAGAATAAGCGATATAGTTCATGAGTTATCTTTACATTTGGGATGTTTTAGAGAGTTTGACTTGGTGGTTCATATATGAAAATAGTTAAAAGAACTTCCTCTCAATCTTTTCTTGAAGTACATGTATTTTACCTTTTTTTGCTTTCTTTACGTTTTAAAAATACATGTGACGCACTATCAAATGCCACTATTCCATGTACTCAAAACTTATACCCATTACCCAACTACATGATCATTTTTTAATATCCCGTAAATCGTTTTTTAATAGCTCTTTCACAACAAGCCTGTTTTCCCATGATTGAATGTGCTCTTTTAACAATTCCTAAGAAAGTGTTCCTGTTTAATATAAATATGAGTGTCTTGAAGATCGGAAGGTAAGGAGAAACTATTAGTCGTTGGTATCCGTCGCTTCTTTCACCTTTTTTCATCTATCACCACTTATCACCTAAAGCACTTACGCTTCAAGGACCGCTACAGTCTTCCTCTCTATTACTTTTAGTGTATCTCGATTCACTTATTGCAACTCATCCTCTCTCCCTGACCAAAAGAGTCTTTTACAAAAGGAAAACAAGATTACTACATGTCAATTCCCCCATTTAACACAGAGATGTTAGTCTCACCTGAGCTCCATGGACAACTTGACTTGGGATTTGTTTTAAACTCTAGTACTTATAAAATAAAATGATAAAAATACTATCTCAAAAGTATATGATATAAAATAAGTAGTATTTTATTTCATCAACTTTTGCAATTTGAATTTGTATTCGTATTTGTTTTGTTATATTTTTATGCTATATGTATGCTTTTAGTTCATTTTAAATTATTGTTATATTGAACTATTATTTGATAATTTAAGAAATAAACCAACATTTCGCTGAAAAAGTGTTGTGAAGAGATAAAATATTTGAAAGGGATATATAAAGAAATGAAAAGTAAAGAACAGAGTCATTTGCTCAAAAAATAAATTGCTTTTATGATGCTTTAAAAAATAAAATTAATAAAGTAATTCATTTAAAACATTTTCAAATAACAAGATTGTTTCAAATTAGAAATTAAATAGTTATATTCTCTTTATACTTTTATTTTTTATTTGAAATGGATTAAAATTTTATTTTTAAATTTAAAATATTTAAATAATTAAAGGATAAATTTAAATCTAAAAAAATAAAAATGAAAATTTGATCATTTGATGCTCAAAAACACTTTGAAAGAGGGAAAAAAATGCTTTTGCCATTAACTTAAACAGCATGTTTTAAAGAATGGAATAGCCATTTCCTTATTCCTAAGCCTCTTTTAATAACTTGGTTGCTTCATAGAAATAGTTATTCCTAATAATGGTCATTCTCGAAGAAATTTGAATAGTTATTACCAAGGAAAACCTGGATAACAGCTATCCTAGTAGTGGAAGAATAGGTCAAAAATTTTATTGGATAAAATTGTCTTTAAATTAATTAAAAAATTACCATCATATATAACTTAGTTTCTCTTCATTTCACATTTTCTTTATCTCTACCCATTTTCTATCTCTCTCCTTCTCTCTAGAGTCTCTCAATAGAGGGTAATGGCATTCGGCGACGACAATGCTAGCTACAAGAAACATTGATTGGCGTTTTCTCACCATATCTAGTTGTGAGGAGCATCAAATTGATACTCTATTATGTCAATCACATCTCCAATAGCTAATCGATAAGAAAAAAAAAAAGGGTAAAAAAAATAAAAATACTATAATGAAAAAAGAAAAAAATAAAAGCTAAAAATTTAATAATAAATTATAGAAATTAATATTTAAAATTTTAATTATTAAACAGTTAAAAATAAAATAATTATATATTATATAATTTATTCGTTATTTATTTTTAAAAGTATTCCTTCCAATCAAATATTAAAATAATAATTTTTTTATTCCACATTATTTCATTTCGCAAAAACGCGCTATTTAAATCAAACTAGTATTGCTAATACCGCAAACGTGATAAGGGGCCTTAACTCTTAAAAGCCAAAGCCGAAGCCGAAGGGAAATGCATTCCGGTTGGTGCGAGGTATTCCCATGCCTCTCTCACGTGTCCAGCTAAAAACTTGTAAACGATATCGTTTCTTATGGAAAAGAAATGAGGGTTTTGTGGTTTCAATCAATCTTGCTCTCTGCTCCACTTCTGCTTCTTCGTCCTCCTTGGCCTAGAGGCAAAACTTTCTCCAAATCCCATAAAAGAAAAAAATAAAACCAATGTGGTACCTGTGTGTATTTTACCACAGATTGCTGGATTACAGGAAACCGGAAGTTGAGTCTCTGGCTGACCTATTCGGAGCTTTTGAAGACAAACAGAACCCAGATTTCGCAACCCAGAACAGGGCCTTAGAATGGCGGCTTCCCAAACACCACCACCCTGACTCCCCTTTCCATTTCGTCAATTTACCTTCCGAAGATGTCGCCAGGAACATCGCAAACCGAAGTAAGTACTAGCTCCTTTCTTCCCTTTTCTTCCCCTTTCGCTACTAAAATGGTGTTTCCATTTTTTAAATTTGAGACCTTCTTTTTCGGACATTCTAGGTATACTGGTGAAGGGAATTTATGAACTTTGGGGAGAAGGAAGTAGCTATGAGGAACTTAAAGAGGCTGTGACAAGCTATCCGGATGAACGAAAGTTGCCATATTTGGAGTCTGAAAGTACGTTTAAGATTACTGTTGATAGCTTTGGGAAGGTTATGAGTCTTCATGAACAGAAAACACGAATTTGGGGACTCTCATATATACCTTTCAAGGTTTGTTTCTCAATTTGATTTTATCGATCATGAAGCTTAATTGCATAATCGATTTCCTTTGAATCAGTAAGTCATAATTGGGGCGTGTAAGAATACGAAAAAGATTATATGTTGGAAATAAAAAGAAGAAGAATTGGACTAGCTTGTTTTGCAAAATTAGGCAAATTAGTTTCTGGTGGTTCTTTATTAATTATTATTTCTGCTAATGGCAATCCTAATCGGCATAATTGCAGGGTCAAGTTAATTTAAAGAATCCAGATCACAATTTCTGGCTCATGGAAACTGATGACAATGCAACTACCAATGGGCTTCCACCGGTTGTACACAGGCGAATATTTTTTGGTAGGGAAGTCGGTGGAGCAGACAGGAAGCTTATACCCACTTATCAATTGAAAAGCCGAACGTATCTGGGCCCAACAGCAATGGATGCTGAAATGGCTTTCTTAATGGCCAATCAAGCACAGGCTGCACCTGGGAAACTTGTATATGACCCTTTTGTTGGCACGGGGAGCATTCTTGTTTCTGCAGCTCACTTTGGAGCAATGACAATGGTTTTGTATTTTCTTGCTATATTCTGAATTATTCTTCATCTGATGGTCTTCTCTTGGAAATCATATGAGCAACCTATGTGCAGTAACTTTTGTGTAATGACAACTGCTTGAATTTGTTCAGGGTGCAGATATTGACATCAGAGTAGTGCGTGATGGGCGTGGCCCTGACTGTAATGTCTGGAGCAACTTCAAGCAGGTGAATGTGCAACATATCAGCAATTCTTGTTATTTTTTTCATTCATCTACCTGCAATATATCTTCATGAGATTATATGCTTATTTGCTACTGCTTTTTTGTAGTATGGATTGCCAATGCCAATTGCTTTGTTGAGGGCAGATAACAATCTTCCTCCTTGGCGTCATGGATTGAAGGAGGTAATTTCTTGTTAAATTGCTTACTGTTGAATATGTTAGTGTATTTTTAATTGTTTTGAATTTGGTAGGTCGCCTTTGATTAGCTTTGTTTTTTCTTCTAAATTTGTTTTACTGTTATGATTCCTTATCTCTTTCCTCACGGTATTGATTTGATTGAAATACACACGCATACATTGCATGTAGCTGGTATCTTTGCTTAATTTTCTGTAGTCATCAATGAGTCAGTTATGATTTTTAAGTCTTCTTTCTTGCTTTTACATAGGTGTTTGATGCAATAATTTGTGATCCTCCATATGGAGTTCGGGCGGGTGGACGCAAGTCTGGTGGCCGAAAATTGCTTAAGGGGATTGTGGGCCCTTACACTGTTCCTGATGACAAAAGGGCAGACCACATACCATCAACTGCACCTTATAGCTTACTTGAGTGTGTGCATGATTTGCTCGACCTTGCTGCTAGGATGCTTGTAATGGGTGGCAGACTCGTTTTCTTCTATCCTGTGTTGAGAGAAGATGATTCTGTAGGAGACCATTTCCCAGAGCATCCATGTTTCAAGTTGGTTGCCACTTCTGAACAGATACTCAGCTCACGATACAGTCGAGTTTTACTCACCATGGTAAAGACATCCTCATACACTGAGGAACTTGCTTTGGCAGCTAGGATAAAACATTTGGAGTTCAAGGAGAATCATACCAAGTGGTTAGAAAATGGTAATCTTCACTCTTCCGTTTTCAGTCCAGCAGATATTGAATCAGGTGATTTGAAAGTCAGTAAAGAATCAAAGCCAAAATACAGAGGGAAATATGTGTAGTCTTACTTCTGTTTTGGGCTCATTAGGTTAGGCAGCAAATTTATGTACTTTTGACATAAATATTGTGGTTACTCATCTGTCATTCATGTTTTATTCTGAATGAGGGATGAATTTTTCATTGTTCTGTTATCAATGTTATCACCATGCTTCACGGTGGAGGTTGCAGGTATTAGACAGGTCGTTTGTGTGCCATGTAAAAGAGTAAGCATGAAGTGGGTATTCTGTTGTATGTAATAATTGCAAAGAGGGAGAGGCAATTTTGAATTTGAGAGCGGAGCAGCTCAAACCGTTGTTTCATTCCAAAAATTTCATGGGCAAAAACTAATTTATTTAACCCCAAACCAACATCACTTGCTTGCAAAATTTCTATCTCTGAGTTGACATCAAATGTAAAAGAGTAAAGAAGGTATCAATTTACATGAGATAATTCACTATGCACTCACTGTATTGGCAACGTTCAGGAGACTGATTTTGCCAGCTGCGCTGTGAACATCGGATTATCATTTTTGTATGGACCAAACTCACAAAGCCTTTCAAAGTACGATCTTCTCAATCCCTTCCGCCTAGCAATATCTGAGCGGACACAGGTTGAACGATTTCTGGGTGCACCAGTAACTATAACGGTTGTACACTCGTCAGCCAAGTTAGCCAAAGCCACCATTGTCTCTGGCTCAGTAGCTGACGAAGCATCCACCAAAAAGATATAGCTAAAATGTCCAGCTGTTATGCCTGCATTATACAGGCGATAGCTACTAATGAAAGTTGACAATATTACTCGGAAGTTCCTTAGCCCCTTAAGTGATGGACAAGTAAAACAATCAGTTTCTTCTTCATAAAGACAGGAGGGGAGGATGTCAATAGGTACCCCCTCTATCTCCCGGAATGCAGCATTGGCTCTGAACATATCTGACACCGGAATTTCCAAATTCAAGCTTCTCATTATCATGTCACATGTGCTATTGATAGGTGCACAGACAAGAATTTTAGACCCTTGATGGCGTTGATAAATTTGAAGCACTGCTTCTTTAATAACCAGTCCAGTCCTTGAAAGTTGCTTTGAAAAGGATTCAGAACCATCATTGCAAGTTGCGCAGAGAGGGCCCTTTACTAGAAAAGGTGGAGGGCCTCGAAAGTTCAAAATATGACGAACTGCTGACTTTTCATTCTGACCGAGCTCGTGGTTATAAAGATGAAAAGAAGTTGAGGTAGGCATGAGATTTTGGGAGACAGAATTAGGGAAGACGAACTTTTGGATTAAGGAAGCAGGTGTAGATGCAGCTGCAATTGCTTGGTGAGCCCTCTTTAAGCAGACTCTGTTGAACGAGAACCTAATGTTATATCTGCAGGTTGGATCATGGTGAGAATGAAATTTCTCTTCAAATTCAACTAGTATAGTTGTGCTCTTCACCACCCGATATATAACACCCTGCAAGCACTTAAGAACATTAATACAGAAGAAAGACAAGGGTTGGTCTTTCTCACCTCTATGTGAAGCTTCGGATATGTGATGGAATCAACCAAGCATAATCATTGGTTAAATGAAGCAGAAAACATCGACTTCACCAGCACATCATCAATATAAAAGATGAACGTAAAATTATATTGTCATTAGGATTTCCCAGAAAGGTGCAAAAGAAATTGGGTTGCATAGCATGATGCTCTTGTTCTTGAAGACATCCATCTGAATATAATCAATATCTAAACTATGCAACAAAGGCAAGATGCCAAGGTTCCCCCAATTATGACTTGATAGAAAAGTAAGCTAGGGTGCAAAATTTAGTACTAAACACACTGTTGGCTTGAGTCCTTATGCATCATGCCATTGTATGTGAGATGCTTATCCAAACACATTCTGCTAAACATTGATTAATCCAGACATTAAACGAACAATAGGCAATTTGGTAGCTTAACAATTAGTACTTGGTTTTTGAACTGGAATCAAATAGTTCTTAATCTATCAAAGTCAGATATATTATGGTATAGAATAATGCAAGAATAGGAGGCAAAACCTGAAATGGCTCAATTTTTTTGCCAGAAGGTTGTGCAAAGACAAAGTCCCTTGACAGAAGAAATGGCCGCTTCTTAGAAAGAGAATCAACCTTAAATACTACAAAAGTTTTATTATCCATCTCATTCCTTGCATTCGAATACTTATTCTGGCCTGACTTCTGATAGATTGACGCTGGATGCAATTCCAGAGACACATTCATCAACTCAAAATTGCTCCATTTCTGTCTCAGATAAAAGCATTCATTTCATTAGTTTCTTGAAAATCTTGAATTGTGATGCAAAAACACTGTTCCATGAGACTGAACAGAAAATGTTCCCTTCATTTCATTCGGAGAAGCATGAAACTATCTCATACATAAGAAAGTTCTGAAGTGCAAAAGTCAAAGATTGAGGTGCAATCGCATTTTGCACTTGTTATTCATGTATTATTCAAATTAGTCTCTTTGGGATCTATTGGTAGTGTACAGCCCCATATACATCCTGTATCCGATAAAAGTGGTCCAGTAGGGTCCTGTGGAGGAGAAAATTAAGCAACAAAACTAGGAAACCAACCTTATAAGGTGATATCCTTGCATTAGATACAAGAGAAACAAATTCAACTATTTTTGTTTTAACATAGTTCTTTTGGCAAAAACAATTCTCATTAAACGAAGCAATTCTAATAATTTGATTTACTTTCTATGAGCTCTAGCCAAGGACTGTAACCTAAAGTAAGTTTTATCTGTGAGCAACGTTCTTATCCAAACAGAGTTTTAGAGATGACAGTCAATGCCAAAACCATGCCCTTTTTTTCTAAATTTGTTTTTTTTTTTTGGGCGTGGTCATTACCCTTTTGGAAGAATTGTTTTACATTAAGTAAAGTTCCTAACAAGAAATTTTCAGAATATTTAGCCTAATCAATCAATATGCCTCTGAGCCCTCATACTAAACTCTACTGCATTCAACTTGGATAGTCTGTGGAGATAGTTTTACTGCTTTGTATTTTTTCTTTTTCATTCACACTTCACAACTCTGGCATCTCATGGTAATGCTACTTTTCAGTCCTCACTAGTTGCTCCGATACAAAAAGATTGGAGTTTTAAGGCAGGCAATTCTAAATTAGTCAAAAGACTGGTTACAACTCAAGCTACAAGAAGCCCATTGCAAGCTTTCAATCATTACTTGTTATGTTGAGTACTTGTTTATCATATATCATAGCTTAATTAAGGACAATAGTCTTATAAGTAGATTCAGCCCAGCTAAATCCCACACCAAAACATTCAACATGAATAAATCAATGACATAAATTACACAAAACAAATTTTGATGAAGTCTATTAGGTTAAAAGAAAGAGACAAATAGAAAAGTTTGATAGAATTTGGATTATTGAACTTTTCATGAAAGGCAATTGTTTTCTTTACCTCAATGTAGTAGTCCTCAGCATAGAGGAGAGCTGCAAAAAAATCCTGATAAGTTGAAGGAGACAAAGCTTTCTCCAGAACTTCAGGCACAATGTCTCTCTTGATTAAGTCCACAATGTCCTTGGGAATCTTGTAAATAGGTAATGTATCCTTTGGATCAGCCCAAGCATATTTTCCTTTCCCTTGCTGGTCGATACAATAAGAAGGCACAGGGGATAGAGTTGGCTTAAGGGAGGGAAAAGGGTTAGAAGAAGATGAAGATGGCGAGGAGGAGGATGAACTTGGTTTAGAAGATGATGAAGAGGGTTTGGGAGACGACATAGATGGTTTAGAATGCGTTGGAGGTTTAGGAGATGATGGAGATGGTTTTGAAGATGCGGGGGGTTTAGGAGAAGATGTTGGGGGTTTAAGGGATGATGGCGATGGACTACGAGGAGGGAGAATCAGCTTAGTTGAAGACTGAGGTGGTTTCGTGGGAGTTGGAGATGAATAAATGTTGTATGTACCAGAACTCCTAGGATTCTGAGGCACTTGACAAATCCTTTCCACAGACTTAAGATACAATGATCCAATTGAAGTAGGATTATTTGTCTCTGAACCTAGAACTACCCTGTATTCAACAGGTACATCACTTGGCCTGGACTGCCATGTTGACTCTTTTCTGGTTGGGTTCAAGAGCGATGAACTGAGGGATGAATCTAAGCGAGTTCTGGTTATTGATGTTGATTCGTCTATGGAGGAACTAGGAGTGGAGACCCAGCTAGCAAATGTGTTATAAATCCTAGTTGTACTATAAATATTGCTGAAGGAGGTTTCACTGTCACTAATATCACTGCACTCATCCTCACAACGACCATCAATGTGCTCGTCTTCACAACACAGAGCGCATTTCAAGAATTCAAGAAGAAAGGACATTTTCTCCTGCCATCAAAAAGGCATACATTCTGTTCAGACTATTTTAGTATTAATATAAGCTTTCTACAGAATCATGCTTTGGGAGGTTCCATCCAGGTGATGAAAAAAGGTCGAATCAAGATTTCAGCAGGTTGTAATTGTTTTCTTTCTATATATCAGATACTAAAGGACAACGAAAAAGCAAATGATATCCAGAATTCCAGATTATAGCTTCGCTTTACTTTTTTGGTCTTCCATGAGAAACCTAACAGAGGAATTATAAATAAATGCAAAAGGCAATATATTACATGGCAAAATGGAAATGATAACAAAGGAATAAGCTTGTATGGTGGGCGTAACGATCAATTCATATTCGATCGCAAAAAGGAAATGGATGACCAAAAGAGAGAAGACTTACCTTACTAGATCAACTCAGATTCTTAAGCAAACCAATGGCTTAGAATTAAGAACAGATTCTCTGTTCTGGCACACTTTCACCATAAAATTTATTTTAAAAATAGATAGGTTTGAAAAGGTTTCCACAAGGGTGGGGTCCCTTTTCTTGACATGGCAAGATCAGACAGCAGCAACACACGAGTAAATAGTCAACGGCAGCTCTCTACCTGGTACCTACTGGGCAAAGGCTCGAGCAGACTTTTATTCTTTGCTCGTTCACATTCGTCTTCCGTACGAGACACTACATATGTTGTAGTTGTTTTCTACTAAAATCTACTCGTACGATTACAAAGTTGTGGAATTAAACTAAAAGATGTTGCAATACTCCAAATCTTTGTTTGTGGTCTGTACGCAAACTTGCTCAAATCTTGGATTTCAGAGCATCAACCAAGTTGGGTCGATCAGGAAGACGTAGAATTTCCCAGTGAGTATCATCAACCTCAGTAAAATAGCGATTTACTGTTTCTTCGCTAACTGACTGCAAATTTGAAGGCTCCCACTGTCGTATATATATTCAAAAAGAAACGAAAATCAAATGAATGCTGTAAGCATTGTGCTTAGAATCTTTTTCTTTTTTGAATAGCAGCATTTTATTGCTGAAAGCTGATGAACATCATTGTGCTTAGAATCTAACCCAACCCATTAAGTCTTTCTTATGAAATACTACACTGTTTGTCCTGCAATATCTTGCAAACCTTACTTCAGAAAAATCTAACAAATATGTACTAATCAATTTGCTAATTCCGTAGGAAGATGCTTGAGGTGAAACTTTGACAATCATGATGTTTTATTTCAAATATATATATATATATATATATATATATATCTTAGAATATATGTTGATTGTTTATTACTTGAAACTGAAACACCTAGTATCAGAAAACCAGCAGGAAATCATTCTTTTGTATGTGTTCTTTAAGAAAGAGAGGCCTTGCACAACTCTGTTATTAACATCTAAAGTTCCATGTACTGATACCCTTTTTCCCTCTATTGTCTTGTCCTGCTAAGAACATGTAGCATCCAACATTTTATATGTTCCAACGAAAGTAGGATTTCAGAAATGAATTTAATGTATAGTTGCAATTGTGTTCAATTAAGTGTTAAAAAATCATTGCAAGTAGATCTTCACATGATGGCAAGAGTACCTTGGGTTTATTGTCTTTTTCAATTAGCTTCGCTCTTCCACCCTGCAAGCATGTGTTACATTTTTAAGGATCATTATATGAGTTACAATTTAGTAAAACATTTAATCTTGAAATTAACCGAGGCATCATTAATCCTTCGTCCTTACCTCCCACAAATCTTTGCTAATAGATCCTCGTAGAATGTTACATAAAGCTATATACTCCCGACTAAGACAGTGTTTAAGTGTTTCTTCCCGACCTTTCCTTATCTGATCAAAGATACAAAAAAAGAAATAAGACATTATCAGTTTCAAACCTCCTTACTACTCCTATTTGAATAAAATATGAACATTAACAACAAATTAAGTGGGTTTTCACTATTTAAAAAATGAACAATAACATACTGATCTCAAAAAGAGTTTAAGGCTAGTGGGACTAGCAGCTTCCATAGACTTTATTGCCTTGATTATCCACTTTTCAGCTTTATATTTCATTTCCTTCTCCTGCATGCAAACATTAAAGCGAAGTAAAATTATTTTATTTTTTTAATTTAATTGTTTAATAATATATATATTTTTTTGTAAGAATAAGATGTTAAGATGTACTTACAAGCGCTAATGATATGTCTTCAACCGAATTCTTAGAGAAACATTTGTTTATAGTGTCCAATCTGATGTATTAACGCAATTCAAAAGTAGGATAAGAATCTATTAGAGAAGGGTTAGGACAGAAGAAGGAATTATCAACAATTATCAAACAACCTTGCATAAGCACTCTCTAGTTTAATAGGTGCTGCACATGAGAATCTCTCAATTTGTCTGACAATCTCTGTTGTGTCTGAGGTTCGCACTTTATCAAGTTCATTTTCGAGCAAAACTAGGTCCTAAGACATGCAAAACATATCATGTTTTTTATTGTTAGTATCGTTATTTATGAAAATTGAATGCATACCATGGCGAAAAGAAAATGTAAATCCGTTCAATAAAATTTACCTTGGACAAAACAAAATGAGTTGCAAGTCCACATGCAAGCATTTCCATTCCATCCAACCTTGCTCCAGTTAGTCCCAAATATTCTCCTTCAATATTTGACATGAATTGAACAAAAATTTTAATACTTCTCCTACATTAATTAGTGTCATACCCATCTGAAGAGTTTTCCAAATTAATTTGTTACATTCTTAGAGCTTTATTCAGTTATGTGTTCGGGTCGGGAAAGAGACTATTACCGAAGTAGCCTGGAAGTCTTGAAAGAAAATAGGACGCTCCAACATCGGGGAAAAGGCCTATTGACGCTTCCGGCATGGCAAACACCTGTTCAAAGTTGGGACTTGCATTAATAAATGTTAATTTATTTCTTTCTCAAACTAGTTCAATATACACACATGTGAAACAGAAAGATGAAAACTTACAGCATTCTCCGTAACAATTCTAAACTTTGCATGCATGGATAAGCCAGCACCACCTCCCATAACAACACCGTTGATAAGGGAAATCTTCAGTAAGCAGAATTAATTAGAAGAGTTAGAGGGATTATGAGATAATTGAAACAGTAATCCTAAATCCAACTTACCAAGGGCTTCTTATATGTTGCGAGTAAGTAATCTAGAGCATATTGCTTTCGGTAAAAATTTGCTCCGAAACTCCAATGACCTGATCATTCATTAATCATCTAAGATCTTAAATTATGTATGACCAAGACATAAGTGATAATATGGATATATTAATTATAAATAAGTTAAAAAGAAGGAAGTAAAAATCTATTATTATAGATTTAATTCTGTTTAATAAACAATATGTTGTTTTATTAGTGAAAGGCCAAAGCAGCCACTAGCTCAATATGTTAACATGGTAAAAGATTAAAGTGCACCAAAAGTAGAAAAAAAAATTACGAATAAGGAAGAAACTAACCTATTATCACAGCACCAACTACGGCCACAACATCGCCCCCAGCGCAAAATGCTCTTCCATTGCTCTGCAAGAACAACTTTTGGTCAGTAGCAATGAGCAATGCTGTTCATTAATGGAACTTGATCTTTAAAAGAAGGCTATTTGAGCGAGAAATAGACTCTTTGGAGGATTTGCTGCGGATGCTCGACCAAATTCATTTGGATAGCGAGGAAGAGCGATAAACTAGTTTGAGAGTTTTGGACAACAAAGGTTCCTTTTTCAGTGAAGAAAGCCACAGCTGTCCTGGGAACACAGCCCGTGCTTGAGATTTAGAAGTACAAAGTTACCTATTTTTAATTTAATTGTTTATGCATGTACTATTGTCACGAGGAAAATATCTTTATCTCACATCGGATAGGAACGAGAGGTCTTGAACTTCTTATAAACAGGTGTGTTACACACTTTTATAAACCAGTTTATAGGAAGAGGGTAATCACCCGTGACAAGTAAAACCTATCTCTTGCTAAAGTCTGATTGTAAATTTATAAAGATGTGTCTTGCTTTATTTTCATGTATAGCTGGAAAGTGAAGCAACCGATTGACTAGTCTTAAACAAATTAAAAGATCATTTTTCCTATGTTTTTGGATTCTGATGATTAACTAACCTTCAAAATCACGAAATTTGTTGTAGAATCTTGCTCATATGCTTGGAAGTTGGTTAGCATTTGACAGATCTGCAAATTAGAGTTCAGCAATAACGTCAAGCATATATAAGTTTCATTTTACTTCGAAATTGCATGTAAAAAGAACAAAAAGTTTAATGCTGATTTAGATTTTTTAACATTTTGATATTTTTATCAAATGAATAGTATAAAATTTAGTGGATATTATATATAATAAGTAAGTCGAACTTACCATTTCATAACTGAGAGCATTTAGCTTCTTTGGTCTGTTCAAAATCACTTTTTTGGCCGATAAATCTCCCTCAAATAGTACCTGCAGATAATAATATTGAAATTTGTTGAATTTTGAAGTCATTAAATCAGTTTGAAAATATACATATGAAAAAGAGAGATTTAAATTTTACTCTTTAGACAAAAAGCTCATATATTAATTAATAAACTAAATGCTTGAAAGTATTTAATTTATTAACTATTTAATTTAGAAGAATAGTAAGAAATAAAACATATTGGAGGATATTTAATGTCAAGGATACAAACTTAGGTCGTCGGTTATTAGTTTATTGCCCAAGTTTTAAAAGGGTTTATGGCATCACCAAAAAGAAATGGCGTTAAAAGGCAAATTAAAATCATAGATAAATAGAAAGAAAATGTGAGAAAGGAAAAAAAACTAGTATATTGTAACCTGATTGTGCTCTGTTTCCAAGGTGAAAGCGAGGGCCATGATGATTTTGTCTTCTAACTTCCAACTTAAAAAGGGTGGACAATAGATCAAGTAGGTACTCAATATATATAGAGTACTCAAAGCTTGAGAGTAGATTCCCAAGCCCAAAATATTAATCATTGATTAATTTGATAATAATATTTTAATATTTTAATTTGTCATGTCAATTCTGCAATTGGGAAACGCTAGTCATGGTTTTATTGTTACTTATTTTGTTTTTGTGAATTTGAAAGCATCAAGTCTATGATTTCTTTTGTGTCTTCGTTGTCAAATCCAATTTAAAGAAATTATTAAAAAAAAATATTATTGTTTATAACATGACTTAATAATTAATTAAGTAAATGTCTTTTCTTAATAATTAAAGCTTATTTATAATAAAACTTAATTATTTATCTCATTCTCTTAAATTATTTCATTCTTCTTCTTTCATTTACATGTTAAACACAATCATAAAACCATATCATCTTTCAAATATCATATCTCGTTATGTCATTAAAATTTTTCTTCATTTTGGCTACCACACTTATGACATTAAAATAAAGATTCTCTGTACGAAAACTCACATACCAGCTATATCTTTGAAAATTTTCTTCATTTTGTGTACTACTCTTATCACATGCAACATACATTGACAAAAGATAATGACAGAATTAGTGTGAAATCACATTATAAATGACTAGGCTTCCTTAGTTAGGTTTGTTGTACCAATTGTCAAACAGCCTCTTTGCACCTTTAGGAATGCTATCCAAAGAGGAAATTATGATAAATAACCTTCTTCATAAGCTTAATTTAAAAATATTTTCTTATAATTTTAACTATTTTTAATCAATTTTTGACATATCTTTTCTTAATAATTAAAGCTTATTTATAGTAAAACTTAATTATTTATCTCAT